AGGTGGGGATACAGAGGGGGATACACTGCTTGGCTTAGGCCATTTGCTGCTTCTCTGTTAGCTTGCTTATATAATCCTCTTTCGGGGTATCTCTGGCAGATGCCAAATATTATTCAGGAAAAGGTGCCTAATGAAATCAATATACTCAGTTGTGCTTCCACATGGCAGCTGATATTTATTCTAAGCAAGTAACCAGCTTCAACATCGTTCAGGCTGGGTGGCCAAGCACTTAGAAAGCAAGAAATGCAATATTAAGGTTGGAAAGTCATATGCTTGATAATCCAGCTGGATCTTTGACCTCCTACTCTGTATATGCCTGAAAGTGTCTTATAATATGACTGCAGAGTCTTTGACCCAGAGTACAACATTGACTATAATCTGAGCATAAACATAAGTTTATCATTAGATACAAATGTGTTTTCAAGCTCAATAGGGTTCTTGAGTCTCAATCAAACTTATGTATCAAGGTAAATTAGGAGAAATAATTGTTTTATTTTTTAAAACAAACAAATAAAGCAACAATGAAATTAGATAAACTTTTTGCTTTATTCTGAATTAAAACAATTTCTGGGAGGTTAGTATATTTCAGAGAGATATGAATTGAAAATTACCTTCAGAGCTGAACTTAATTCTGATACAAAAGCCCACTTGTATATGTACAAAGGAAACTCAGCTGCAAGCTCTGTATTAACCTGAGTAGTTGTCAGTGTCTGCAATGGACTACAAATTCTTGTCTTATCTAATGTCTTGGCCAGAATATACATCAGTCACTGTAGTGGATATAGTTGATTGCAGTCAAAGTGATTAATTGTCTAGACAAAATCTGTAATATCATCAACTTTGTCAAAACTTGTATGTGACTGAAAATCATCCATAGAATTGGTAGTAATGACCCAATATATTTCATTGCCACTGACAGGGTCAGATTAAGGCCTTTTGTTTTTCTCTTAAAAAGCAAAACAAAACAAAACACACACACACAAAAACAAAGACCACATTTCACCAGGATCTTTGGCTCAGAAAGAAGGTCTCAGAATCCCCTGCTTTAGGGATGTTTCAGGTTAGTGACCTATCTCCTGTAAGATCACATTTGCTTCAGAAATTTGAAGGTATATACAGAAAAAGAAGAGGATTTCCAGGAATGGAAAGGAGAGTTTTATAGAAGAGGCCCTTGTAGAGGTTAACAAATTCTGGCAGTCTCTCTCTCTCTCTCTCTTTTTTTTTTTTTTAATCCTATAGGAGCTCTGTTTGGAACTCTAGCTTGTTTTGCAGCTCTTATTGTAACAATCAGAGTTGATGGGATCTATATGTTTTGAACATGGAAAACTTTCTACAGTGCTAAGGTCTTGGAAAAGTCCTGCCCTTGAGATCTCAATTGAAGCACCTAAAATCAGCAGACATTCTTGGTATTTGTGTGCTCTGACTTAAATTTGTCATTCTCAAACACACAGTGGGAATAGTAACAGCCTTGTTCTTGACCCAGTCAATTAAAATAGGAAACATTTCAGGTTTTCTTGCCTGAGCACTTCTCCCACAATTTGACATATCATTTTCTATTACCTCTAGATGGTAGTGGAATGCAGATTCAGCTATTACTATTTTTACTACCATTATCATTGCTTTTATTTAAAACTATTATTATTGTTAATGTCATTATTTATAATTTTAATATGATTTTTATTAATTAATATCACCGCTACTGCTATGAATTTGTGAAGTTAAGGCTTTGCAGGGCATCTTGTGTAGGTTATTCTATGCATGGTCACTGGTGATGGTCTCGGTCTCAGCTAAGTAAGGGACAGGAGTAAATGATCATTTTTCTTTGGAGTGAGTAATCTCTTGGTCAGGCAGAGTACTGTGCATGAAGTTTGCTCTTTCTTTATTCCTTCTTTTTTTTTTTTTTTTTTTTTTTTCTCCTCTGTTTCCTGCTATATTCAAATTAAATCATAGTAGTAATATGAAAAACAAAGAACAAAAACACAAAAGACTTCCTAGATGTCGATGAGGACAAGTGTTCACAGAGAGGATTGAAGCCCTGCTACCCATACCAAGGACCTTTCTACTGTTTTGCTGGGGCTCCAAAGGGAGTTGAGGTCAGGCTAGGACTTCTCATTTGTCATGTGGAGAACTGCATACAGCTTTGCAGAGGCTCTTCCTCTGGCTTTGGGGACATAAGGAGAAGCTGTGACACTGGGCAGGGCAGTTGCTGAGCCTTTGTGAATCACTGAACACCTTGGGGGCAGAGGAGGGACCTAACGGTGGCAACCAAATCTTCCTCAGTGAAAGTGCACCTGATGGATAAGGAAATATTGGGCCTTTTTTTTTTTTTTTTTTTTTTTTTTTTTTTTTTTTTTTTTATGATTACTTTTGGTCATAGGCTAAGTTTGCTGTGAAATGCAGTTTCAGCTGTTGTGAAATTACTTGCCCCCTTCAGGTCAAATCTGCTTGTAGCTTCATCTGGGAGAGACATTTACAGAGTAATTTCACCAAAAACTGAAGGAGCAAAAGGAATACAACACACACCAGGTTTCATGAGTGGTTTCTCAGTAGCTGACATTTTTCCTGCAGGATACAACAAACTCATATTCAGTTTTTTTTCTTTCCTGGAGAATGCCCATGCTACTAGTATACAAAGAAGGGTGAATGTACTCAACTGCTCCTGTCCACAACATCTTATTTCATGTGATTATGCAGTCACGAGAACCCACAGACAATGTGTTAAACATCCTTGGGAATTAGTCCACTTACTTTCTGCACCAATTAATATTTTAATATATTTTTTTTGAGTTTGGTATAGGTCCAAGGGGAGAAATTAAGGGCACCAGACTCCCATAGGGAGCAATCTACAGGGAGTAGGATATTCAGCAAGGAGGCAGCTGAATCAGGAAGAAAGTTGGATTTGAGCAGGCATTTTCCACCCAGCTGGTGAGTGTCCTAGCCTCTGGGCTGGAGTGTATCTGAGGGCAACGTGATCTGGGATGGCTCTGGAGCTATTCCACTTGGCAGGCAATAATTCAGAGCTCACGCAAACAAAGAGCCAGGATGAGTCACCAGTCTGCTGATTAGGCTGCTCTCCTGGGAGGGAGGCACCTGGATCCCAGATCCACGTTGGGCTGTGAAGTGGAACAGCATCAACTGGGAGGGATTGGCAATACTTAATACTGCCTGGTTAGGAGGCTCTTCATGCGTGGGAGGCATGAGTTTGAATCCACTTGGAGAGGAGAGAGAGTTTAATTCAGGTCTCCTAAAACCTAAGAAGCGCTCTTATCACTACCTTGTAATTATGGGGATAGGATGGCTCTTCAGCCACAGGGTGCTGAGGTGGACGTTAGATCTTGCTTTCTTAAAAGAGCTGGAAAATTAACATTTGGGTTTTGATCCTCTGGGACATTCTGCGGAGAACAGAACAAACCAACCAACTTTAGTCTTCCTTCTTTATATAGGAATCTCTCTCTTTTTTTTTTTTTTCCCTAACCTGCAGAACAGACAATTATTCACATTCCCTTGACCAGCAATGCCATTCCATGTCCTGGAAAGTGCTGAGAGCATACTTGCATGTGCAACTGGGCAGATTATCTCTGGGAATGGTCTGGTGGACTGGGAGCCAGGGATAACCACAGATAAGTCTGATGGGCCTGGAAGAACTTGCATCTATGAAAAGAGAATGGGGAATTTTATTGTCTTGGCAATGCCTCCACAATTTTCTTTTGAATGGATATGCTAATTGTAAGTGGTAGAAATGTAGAATCTAAGGATTCTTCTCCATTTGCACCAGACTGAAGCTTAGGACAATTCAGTTCAAACCCATAGTAACTGTATTGTTTCTGTTGTAAAATAGATAGGAAAATAGCCCAAACTCTCTATTCATGTCAATCCTATAAAATGTGTAAAGGGGAGTCTCCCTGCCTTTAACAGCCGTGATCTGAAAGATCCTATCTGATCTACCTCTGTCAGCTTGGCATTTTTGCAGTAGTCAGTGGTTGCACAAAACTGGCCAATTTTTCCATATATAGTGTTGCTAAATTACCCTTTCTGGTTTTGTTTTATTACCCCCTCAGAGCAATGATCTCACCCATCAGTGTTGTGTTGCTCTTCGGGAGTGGCAGGGGTGGAACGGGGTGGGACAAGCAAAGCCCTGAGCTTTTTCCAGAGTTCCCTGCATATGCAGAACCTTTCATTGTCTTCTCTAACACGCCCTCACCTTTCACACAGACTGGAATTTGACACGCTGGGTTAGAGAAAGAAAGAGGAAAAAAAAAAAAAGCACAACACAAGAAAAAAAACTGCAAACAAGATCTTATCGTGGAAAATATCCATCCACCCTCCTGATAATAAAAAAGGCCTCAGGTTAGGAAAATAAAAAATGACTCTAATGAACACTCAATATTAACATGCAAATACATTCATGGTTCCTGGCACAGCTGGAAAGACTGAATGTAGTCCTCTTCTAAAAAGTAGTTTTTACACTTCTTGTAAGAAGGAAAATTTATCCTAATGGTTGCTGTTCTACATAATCTTGAGAATTCATTCTTCTCTGTTGAGGAAAGCTCTGGATACTCCTTCTCCCTCACCCCACCCCATACCCCACATTCATTTCACCAGGTGGCATGACGAAACCCTCTAGATCAAGGCAGGTTTCATCAACAAGGCTTCGTGCCATGCCACCCATAATTCATCCCAGCCTGCTGTGGCTTTCTCCCAGCAAGCAGCACCTCTTGCAAAACCAGCCCCTGTCTCACACTCCTTCCAAATTTGTGTTCCCGAGCACCAGCAACAGAAGAGCATGATTCACTAACAGAGCACACAGACCTTCACTCCACTCTGGCCAGTTTGTGTCATTGCCTTAATGTTAATTACACACCATAATGTGCGCATTTAATTTCCGTGGTGTTTCAATTAAATTAATCAGGCAATTAAAATTAATTAAAATTACAGAAATCACCTGCAGAAGTGTTTGAAACATGGGGGAGGGGAAGGGAGGGGTTGGGAGGGAGCTGGGAACATAGATGGCTGTGTTTTCACAGACCTTCCTTCCCTTGATTAATTTTTGGGATAGACTCTTTCAGAGCAGGTTATTTAAGGATTTAGAGCTTGTTCCAAGGCCCATTGAAGCCAATGGAAATCTCTCTATTGTCACTGATAGGCTCGGGACCAGGCCACTAGCCCTGAGTGCTTAGGATAGAGACATTTAAGGTGCAAGTGATGAAAGACCTGATGTTGAGCAGAAATCCATTAACACCTCCAAGAAACAAGGCCGAGGGCCTTTAAGTACCAAATCAGGGACAGATTTTGAAAGGCCACTAAACATGAGGATGATATCTGTGGGAGTTGGGTGAGTCAGTCCTTCCAAGAACCTGGGCTGGAGAGGCATTCTAAGAAACTTATAGGTCTTTGAAGTGTCTAAGGACCTTTAAGACACGGCCATGTGTATCCTGCCCTGAATTTCCACTGACTTACACACTCAGTGAGAGAGGGTCCTAATTTCACACTGGTGACTCATGACTCCTGAAACCTTGGGCAAGTTGCTTACCCTTTCTTTAGTATCTTTTACCCTTTCTTTTTGCATTTTTTTTTTCCCCTCAGCATGGAAGGGACAGTAATAACTTTTGAAGAGCTACTTCCCCCACAGCATCCTACCAGCCAGTCCCAGCCCAACCAGTGCCTGTGTCTGGGAGACAATTTAGTTACTTCCACACTTTCCTGGAAAGATTTTGCCTGGCACACTCCTGTCTCAGCAGGTGAGTCACCCATTCTTTGCTTCCATTCTTCACCCCGCAGTTGGGGATGTTTATACCGCAGTCACTAAAGCTCATGCAGGTATCCCCGAGCTGCCTTTAAATTAATTTGCTGGAGTACCATTGGTAGGATAGCTGTAGTTTCAGGGAATGTTGTGTGGGCTGAAAAACCTGGGTATGAAGTGAAGTAAATGCTCATAATTAGGCTGAGCCACTCTGCCCTGCACTGGCCAATGGATCCTGAGCTTGCTCTTTTAAAGACATAACTGTTTTTTAACACATTATAATTTCCCTCACACCACCAGATAATCATAGTTCCATAGGCAATTACCCATCCTTCTTGAAGTCCAAGAGGGAGTCAAACCTTATCACCTCTGCCCCAACAACACCTGCTTTTGCTCTGCACTTGTGAGCCACTTTTTCCTTTTCAGTTGTTTAGATGATTAACATAATTAGGTTAAGCAAATATATAAGGCTTCTAGTAAGACTGAGGTTTACTGCCAATTTCATGTCTGAAAGATTTAAGTGCACCAGAACTCATGTATTGTATCAGTCCTATCAACAGATATTTCCTTTTTCTTATTTCATCTTTCTGTAAACTTTCAATCTTTTACATCCTCAGACCATAAGGACACAATATTCCCATTATTATTAGACAAATTTAGCACAGTTACATGCTACTCTTTTTATTTCTTAAGTCACAGCAAAATGCAAAACGTGAAATGAAATTGATAGAGAATATTTTTCAGTTTTTGTGTATTTATCTTGATTTTTGATCTTACAGAACACTTTATTCACTCCTTTCTTTTTTTCTTTTTTCTTTTTATTTTTTCCCCATAGAAAATAAAATACATCAGAAGCAGGAAAGAGAAAACAGAAAAAGAAAGGTGGGGGAGACAACTAAGAACACAATAACTTGTTTTTCAAAATTAGAAATTTTAAGCAGAAGTATTTTGTTTCTGAACAGCCTAGAATTTTAATTACAAATTTGTTGAACCCTCTTTCTTCTCTCCATAATTCTCTATCTAAATGATGAAATATCCCCTCTCCCCTTGCTAATCCTTCTCCATCTGAATCCTTTGACACGACTTCTTGTGTGGCCTTTGGCACGTCACTTCACCTCAGTTTCCTCATCTATAAAATGGCTGTTAATCCCTATATAGTATCACCCACGCAAATTGCCAAGGCTTATGCCTGAACAGTGCTTTGAAGATAAGTGAGGAAAGTTTCAAAAGGACCTAAGAGATTTAGGAGTGAAAGTTTCATTAACTTTCCATCAGATTTGTACTTTTATATCTCTGAAAGCCTTTTGAACGTCTGCAGAACTGCAAGACTTTACTCATCACGGTCATATTCCTTGTTCTCCTCAAGGAAAGGGATTGCTCCAGGCTAGTTTTGATAGAAGAATTTGTTCCTCAAAAGAAGCAAGGTGAGACTTGGGGTTCTCCAGTTTCTTCCCCCTTTCTATGTTTAAGATATGAAATCTTGAATGCATACTCCAACCATTACTCCGAAGTGGTACCTCTCAGACAGTCGGTATTTATATCAGTACATCTACTTGGCTTATTTTGACTGAAAGAAGGGGGGGCAGGCCCATAACATCAACTTTGCTGCTGGATAGTAACTTTCAGCTGGGAGGCAGTGGTGAGCTCCTTTGGATGGTGCAGAGGTAGTCACCTCTTCATTTAGCACGACTTGTTTTGGAGCGGAGCATAACACTTTCTTTTCTCTAAATGCAACCCAATGGAGAGTGCCTACCCTGTCAATCTTGGGATGCACTGGTTCATTCAAGAAGAGTTATGAGGTTTCTCTAACCACAAGAACATGATCTTATCACCCCATTTGTCCAGTGAATGAAAGTCCATTTTTTATTTTTTTGCTAAAATAGTGACAAAATTAAGAAACCAATAAAGATCAAAATTGCTAGAAAGAAACTCTGAAACTTTCAACATATAATTATATATTAATTTTGAGTTTTCTACCTTGATTCTCAATCAATAGTCTTTCTTAAAAAATATATAAAGGGAAAGAAAAAGAAATTAATCAATCAAAGTTGTGTGGATAACAGTGTCTTGGTGGTTTGGGTCTGTTCAGCTTCAGCAGCTAAATCACTGTCCTGAAATTACCTAGAAATAATGCTACTTTTATTTGGGAGACTTTCCTTATCAAAATGAAAATGAACTTATGTGAAAAGAAACATTTCCATTGGCTATAAATTAAATATTTTACTTTGATATTCATTTTATCTATTGATAGACTCAATGTATATGAATTTGAAAATGAAACATGATTTAAGAACAGAAATCTGGAAGGTCTGGTTTACAGAAAGTTGAGGCATACTGATTTAAAAGCTTTTTAATCCCAATCTGTTAACCACATTTGTTTTAAATTTGCTGATGATTTTGATCATTTTTTTGATCATATTGCCTACAACTACATTTTGCCGAGAATAGGGCTTTCTACAAAAATATTGTCTTGAATTTGGAAAACTGGTTCTTAAGAAAAAACAACAAATGCAATTATAATGTTAATAAAGGCTAATTCTCCACCAACAAAAAAAACCAAACCAAACCAACCAAACAAAAAAAAAGCAAACAAACAAAACAAAGCAAACAAACAAACAAACAAAAACAAACAAAAAAAAAAACAACAGGAGAATTTATCTTGTGATGGAAGGTTCTTGGTATGCAGCAGAGTTTCTTTTCACCTCTGGAATTACATACTGCATTCTAATTAGAGCTGTTAATTAGATACATTTTGTTAAAACATGTTTCATCAAAGCTGAAGCATTTTGTAAAGAAGTGTCTATTTTGTTGACACTTTTCTTGGAGAAATTTTTGAGGTTCAGGGCTCTGGTCAAGGACAGAATTCAAAGAGAAGCAGAGCTCATGTCTCTCATGTATAATGAAAGGGCTGTTAAAAATCTAGTGCCATTAAAATTTGCCAAAATATTTGAAAAGCTTTTTATTTTCCTCTTTTCCTTTTCTCCAATGTGGAGGGAAACAAATTTCACAACCTCAAAAACTATGGTAAAATGGAATTGCTGTCCCATGGACAACTCCTGTAATAAGGCCAACAAATGTCATGCGGAGTCCAGTTCCTCCTTGTTGAAGCAGAGCTATTCATGTATGCAGCCTTACCAAGTGTCCAAAGTGTTTCATGCATTGCTAATAATTATGGGCACATCTTGGTGGTCATATTGAATTCAATGGCAATTTTCCCACAGATGCTATCAGGAACAGAATTTATCCCTATATGCTTTGATTGTATAACTCAGTTTCTGTTATTGCTTAAGACTCCCCAGTCTGTGCCAGCATGCAAAATTCTGATGAAGCCTTATGTTAGCGGCTGCTGCTAACTGTTCTTAATTATTTGATAGTCATCTGAGGCCTGAATTTCAGAGATGTGGAGCTACTCTTGTTCCAATTCTAATCAATGGTAATTTGGAGACTTTGTCCATCTATAAACGAGACCTTAAAAGGACATTCCTGATCCCATTGTCTCTACAGGTTCATACTTGCAGGGGTGAATTTTCAGTTAACAAATGAGGTAGAGCTGGTTAAAAACTGACAGAATTGCCTTTTTGGGGAATTACAAGATTTCTCTTTTATTTATTTATTTATTTATTTATCTATTATTTTTCCCTTAGGGGAAGGGATGAATCTCAAATTCAGAAAATAGTAATAAAATCACAGAATCATTCATAAAACTAAGTATTCTGATAGGCTTTGTTTAATCCTTGTTGAAACAATAACTTTTGTCTGTATTGTTCATGCCAATATGAGGCAATGATTACTCTGCGTTATATTTCCTGATCTCGTCACAAGAATAAAGACACAATGAAATATTTTTAATTTAGGGGAATGAGACATTTAATAATTGCATGTTTAACCTCCTGGTGGAGCCAATGCATCCCTCCAGAATACAGTGATTTGGATAATTATTATTTTCTGCTGGAAAAATTGGACTTTCAGCTCCAGTTCTGTCTCATCAGGAGTAACAGAAGGCCAAATTCAAGTCCTTTTGACTGTCATGGAAAAAAGTACCTGCCAATCCATTGAGGCTCTGCCATAGTAATGTTTCAGGGCCTGTTTCAAAGCCAAGCCAAAAATAGCAGGAAACTTTTGTGAGTTTTGTGCAGCTGGGCAGAACTTCCAGGACCTGTTAACATTGTCTCAAAGAGTCAACACCCTATTTCTGTATTCCTGTAGCTGTATTACACCTGTGTTAAGCATAGCCTTAATACCAGTCTATGAAGGAGAGGTGGATGGATGATGGAAGTCCTTGATGTTCCTCCTCACTGGAAGACACACACCTAGGATATCTAACTTCAAAGTTTTCACAGTTGCTCAGCACCATGCTGGTTATTGCTCCAATTGTACTACTCTCCTCTGAGGGAAGCTATAGGGAAACCTGTGCTCCAAATACTTGATTTAACTTAGGGTTCAACCTCACAATCCTGAAAAAGTGCTTGTGAAGGTATTTTTGTGTTTAACTTACATTTCTCTAGAGACATTTTTTCCAGGTTCTCTGTTTTCCTCTTTCCTTTTCTTTTTTTTTTTGAGACAGGATTTTCCACCAGTACTTCAAGGACCATCAGCTGATGCAAACAGATTCACTGGTGCTCAGTGGATCTGAAGGGGTCAAATAGGTGCTGCTGCCATCTTTAAGGAAATTTCAGCATCTGTGCTTCCTGCTGCCCAGTGGGAACTGTGAATTGGGCAGTGAACCCTATAGAAATGGGTTCACAGGAGGCTGGTCCTCCTCCTGGGGTTGTATATTTATGGTCAAGTACATGGCCGGATGAGATATTATGACATCATGGGTTTTGCCAAGCCCTTCTCAGCTTTGCTAGTCCAGGTAACAGGACTTTCCCTCAGTGGGAGCAGAGAATAACTTTGGTACAAGCTGCCCTGCTGAAGAGGTACAGAGGTTAATCTATGAAATTGGAAGAGAAGGTTTTAGTCTCTTCCCACTCAGAAATCATTCATGTAATTGTACCT